GGTAAACTGTGGTCAATGTCATGAGACAAAGTATATGTGAACTGCTGTATGGAAAGTGAATTTACTCTATAAATCTTTCACCCAAATCACAATTAAAAAAAAAGAAGTTGAACATGCATTAATAAGTTCTTGCATTTGGCAAAGAATATTTGGCCATTTGCAGATTGGATGGCTTATTTTTACATTGCTTTGAACATTCTCATATGAAAAAAAAATTAATCCTAAAATAAGCTAAAAAGAAAATTCTTTAATTTTCTTCATTCATGAATGTTTTTACAAAACATCTGTGGCCTTAATCTGTTTTTGAGCCAAATAAGCAAAGTATGTATACCCCAAAATAATCAGTCCATTTACTCTAGGTGAATGTTTGTTTTTTTAGAAACGGATGGTATTTATTGTTGGAAAATGAAATAAACTTTAGCCATAAACAATATAACATTGTCATATTGACTGCTGAAATCTCATGAATATGTAGTTCTCTACATTTTGACCCTGGCAGATGTTATTATTTTTCTAGCTGTAGATAGAACTGTACCGAATTGTACTCTTGAAAGAATAAAGAAAGCAATGAAATTGTAAGTTGCAACGAAAAGGGAAATTCTTCTTTCCCTTATCCAACAGTCAATGGAGGAAGACAGAAAGACAGACCCAAAGGAAGGAGGGAAGAAAGAGAAAGAAAGACAAAAAGATCTTTAATTTTTCGACAGATTTAAAAGTTAGCAAGGTAGGAAAAATATAAAGATATTTTTCATTATGTGAAAACAAGCAAGGAAAGCAATTAGTTTCAAGTTAAGCATTATAGATTCTGAGGGCAATACATAAACCAATGCTGGTTCAGGAAATACAAAATACAAAACAAGATATTGTTTTGACTTAAATAATATCTGAAATGAGAGTATAGCAAAATTCCTTGATATGTATGTCATCACGTTGTAAAAACAAAAAGCACAAACACATAGACCATTGAAATTTACCTCTTGTTTCATGATATTCCAAAGTGTCTATAACTGTATTAAGTGCCATGAAATCATCCAAAGAATTTTTCATACTTATATTCTAATTTTTGAGAGGAGACATGAAATATCACAAAAGAAAATAAGCAAAAATGGTATCATAATTCTAGCATTATAGCAAACCACTGCTTTAGGGGGTTGGAGGTTCTCTCAGAAGATGAGTGAGTTCAATGCCTTAGGCACTATGCTACAGAAGCTCCTTTAATATCAAGATAATATCAATATAATATGTAAATGTAATGATATCTTTGGAAGCTCTGGTGCTTCCAAAGTAGTGCCTAAGGCATTTGACTGCTAACCAGAAGGCTGGCAGTTCAAACCCACCACTAGGAAGGAAGATTGGGCAATGTACTTCCGTAATGATACTGCCTTGGAAACCCAAGGAGGGGTCGCTATGAGTCAGATCCAGCTTGATGGTAGTTAGTTTGGCTTGGTTTGGTTTAATGATATCATCTGCCAAGTAATCATTCTTTTACATCTATCTAGTAGCCAGAGACAGGGTCAATCTATTTCTCCTTACAGTTTGAGAGACGTGGCTTACATTACAGCAATAAGCATTAGAGAGAAACGGCTAAATGAATCCAGAGCAACTTCTGAATGGAGATGACATTTACCATACATTACCTATGCATGTTTTCTCATCTGAATCAAGCTGGTGTCCATGGTTATAGGAACAACTGAGCCCACCAATTGCATGTTCACAGTGATGGGAACAACCACCATTGTTCTCTTCACAGCTATTAACAATTTCCAATTCAATCCCTTTCCAAAACAAGCAAAAGAGGGTTATTAACATAACAACTGAGAAACTTGAGTATATGTCAACAACAGGTACACTCTCTTTGTTGTAAGATGACATAGTTTATTGGAAAGGTATCAACACTCTACACATATTAAAGTAAAAGTTTAGAGACAATTAAACATTAGAAATGCCTATAAATATCAAAATATTAGTAAACCTATAAATAATGTTAGGTTGACTAAGTGATACAGAAGTTAATCAGTGGCTACTAAATGCTTACCCCAAAAGACACCTGTTACTTCAGGATATTAAAAAAATGCATAATAAATCAATGATAAGAAAACAAATAGCTTGCTTGTCAACTGACATTTCTGTTCTCAAACTATTGATATTCTATTATCTATCCTCTTTAGGAACTGATAGTGCATGAAAATAATGTTACAATTAACCTTGGAACAAAAATGTCAACACAAAGCCTATGAATTGGCTGATCATATATAAATAGTTCCATGTTGGTGTACTAATCAGTTTTGTTGTATATGAGGGTCATTTACTACATAAATATACTATTACTTTCAAAACTAATTTGTCATTTCTAGTACAAACTACTCTGGTAGCTTAGTGCCTAAGGCACTTGACTGCTAACCAGAAGGCTGGCGGTTCAAACCCACCAGTCACTCCTTGGAAGAAAGGTTGGGCAATCTACTTCTGTGGTGATACTGCCTCGGAAACCCAAGGAGGGGTTGCTGTGAGTCGGGTCCGACTCGACGGCACACAACAACACAACAACAGTACAAATTACTACTATTATTTTATGCAAATAATGCATGTTATATGTTTTGGAATACCACACAACCCCTCACGTTATTTTCGTAAGTGCGAGATACCAGTATGTGTGTGTGTGTGTGTATTTACAGGTTGATGACTTCAATTTGCGTTTTTTTTTTTTTTTTTTTTTTAAATTTCTTTGTCCAACAGAGTTAATGTTAAGTCTTCCTCTTGGTGCTTGTTGATATGTTGGTTTGGTTCCTAGCAGCAGACCCACAACAGCCTATCCTTGAGTTTCTAAATCAGCCCCCTTCATAGCAGAATTCCTTCCTTGTAAATTACCTCTCTGGTAGCAGAGTGGCTTAGACACTTGCCTGCTAACCAGACAGCTGGCGGTTCAAACCCACCAGCCACTCTTTGGAAGGAAGGTTGGGCAATCCTACTTCTGTAGTGATACTGCCTCGGAAATCCAAGGAGGGGTCGCTATGAGTCGGGTTTGACTCGTCGGCACATAACAACAACGTTGAACAGTGCAGGAAGAAATCATTTTTTTTTTCCGGCCTGAAACAGTCCTGTCAGGGTGTCCGGCCCCAGTCCCGGAGGTGCGCAAGTCTGTGCACCCCAGTCGGAGAGGCCACTCAGGTGGGTGAGGCTGGCATGTTGCAGTGGCATGCGTGAAAGAGTCATTTGAATCTCCCCCCCCTCGCCTCACACACACACACACACACACACACACACACACACACCCCAGACTTCAGGGAGCATGCGCGGAAGACTTGGGCTCATAGACTCGCGGGTTCGTCACTCGGAAGAGGTCTGTCTGGCTCCCCGGAACCCTGTGTGCCTGGGGCAGTATTTACCCTCATAGTCATGCCAACAGCTTCACATGGAAGCGGCATCACCGGACCGAGCACTCAGGGGCACTCATGCACAATGGTCCCTGCCTGCCACAGCACTAGCCTGTGTATAGCCCTCCCAGACCCTCTGCCCATCTCAGGAGCAACATACTGGGCGCAGATCTGCTGCAAGGAACTCCACTGCTCTCAGGCCGGGCCACAATCAGCCCCACAGCAGATTGGTTATTTTTGCACAGTTCCAAATGTTTATTTTCTGATTTCTGGGGTTCTACCAAACTGATCCACCCAATTCTTGACCAAAGTGTGTATCTTTATTATACAAATATGATCAAAAGTAACATGTTCAGACTAGTGAATGAGGGTGAAGGAGGCAGAAATTCACTTCTGGAAATATTACAAGACATGGGAGACAAATACATGGGTGCACTATGCAGAACTTTTTAACATAATTTTGTCATTTCTGTCCATTATATGTGTTCGCATATTATTTACATAGGAATGCTATCTGCACACACATACACAGACACACACACACACACACTGTATGTAGTAATTTGGGGCATATGGATGGTCATCAACCTGAGCATATGGATGTTACTAGTCTTGATCACACAAGCATTTTATAATCACTAAATTTCTAAGTGAAGAAATGAGAAAGAAAAGGACATTTTTTAATACATGTTAAATATGTTGTTGCTGTTGTTGTTATGTGCTGTCGAGTCGGCCCCGACTCAGCGACCCCTCCTTGGGTTTCCGAGGCAGTATCACTACGGAAGTAGATTGCTCCATCTTCCTTCTGAGGAGTGGCTGGTGGGTTTGAACTGCCAGCCTTCTGGTCAGCAGTCAAGCACCTTAGGCACTATGCTACCAGAGCTCCCATGTTAAATATAGAATTTAGATATTTCTACTTTCTCCATTGGAGTTTATTGTTCTTTAGTTGTGTTGCTTGGACACATGCCTTATTGAGAGTGTCTACATAGCTTCCTTCCTTCCATTCCTAATTCCTAAATCTATTGAAGGTAGATAGATGGGAAAGAATAGGGTTACTTAGAATTGTGGACCTCCTCAAAGGCATATATCATCATTCCAGCTGCCTAATATCTGTTACAGTGCCAAAAAGCATGGCCCTCACTCCTCGCTCCCAGCTTAGGATGGACAGCAGCTTAGGCGCCTTCACAGCACCCAGCGCACAGTGCTGTCCCTGCTCTCATTCCACTGTGCCATCATCAGTTTGAATTACCCAGCTCAGAACAAATGTTCAAAAACAGGTTTGGAAAGAATGGGTAAACAGAAGAATAATTATGCTAATCAATTTATTGTTGAAAATAAGAACCCCTTTGGGCTTAGAAACAGCTAGTTTAGGACTGAATAATATTAGAAAGCTAAAAGAAATATTGAAATAATGAAGGAATTAATATTTTTCCTCATATATTAACATACACTCTTTAGGGAGACATTTGAAATTATGACTGTAGTGGGGTGTGTGTGTGTGTATGTGTGATGTCTTTACAATAGAGAACTAGGAATATTTTCCTTTTCTTGTCTATGCTTGTCATTGCTATTCATATAAAGAAGTATTTTAAAGTGCTGTTAGTTCTCACTTATCGACCATCTCATTATCTGACTTCGCATTTACGACAGCAGGGAAACCTGACAATTTTGTGCATTAACATGGGTTTACTCCTTATGTCCAGCTCCTGGCCCACAGAAGCAGTCAGCTCTCCAGAAGGTCTTTTGCCTGTCCCATTCCCACTGCCGGAGCCACCATTGCAGCTCTTCATGTGAAAGGGGCAACTGAGGCAGAACTTGAGGGAGCTCTTCTGAGAAGGGTCTGTGAGTGGCTGCAGGGGTGGAAGAGGAAGTGAGGGGTGGGGGTTTCTGTTGCTACTCCGCTCTATTCAAGCACACCGGAGGAACCAAGTCCTGCAGTGGAAAGGGTACTGGGGTAATTCAGGGCCTACAGCAGAAGCTGGCTACCCACTCCTCCTCCGTGGTCTGGGCTGCTGAGTTCCTCTTTTAAGCAACTGTTGGTCTCTGGGCCCTTAGCTTCAGATTCTGTGGCGTTGCTCATTTCTATGAGGTCCTCACTGGCATGCAGGATAGCAGCAGATGGCTGGGACGGTGGGGGGGGGGTAGCTGTGGGTAGGGACCGTGGGCACTGGTAGCAACCACCACTGACTGCCTCTGCTGGTTGCTCAAGCTTCAGAGCCACCAACTGTGCCTGTAGTCCAGCTGCCAGGCACCAGGCACACTTGTACATCAGCCCTGATGGCAGGACGTTGGGATCCAGAGTATGTTGGTGCTGGAGGACACAGCAGTTCTGAGGGTCTAGGATCCAGGGCTGCCTCCACATCCTCTTCCTTGCATAGTGTGGATTTTGCATAATGACCTGATCTTTGGAACATAACCATGTTGAAAAGTGAAAAGTGAGTGTATTTATGAATCATCGTTGGTATCTGATAGTACATTAAGTCAAGCATAGTCATTTTCTAGAAAGAAAAATGGGCTTGACTGAGGTAGGTCACTTCTCTATGATCATTATTGATACTGTTGAGATTAAAAACTAAATCTCTAAACCAGTATTTTTTTTTTCTATTATATAATGTTAACTCTCTCAGATTGCTTTCATGTATCTGACATTCAGATATATACTCATTTATTTGAAAGATCTATATTGTATAAGGCATCTTACACACTTGCTAATCTGATTATTACTTAAAAAAACAACCAAAATCCCACTGCCTCAAGTTGATTCCAACCCCCACTGGGTTTCCAGGGCTGTGAATCTTTATGCAGATTGCCTCACTCTCCAATGGAGCAGCTGGTGGGTTTGAACCACTGACTGTCTGGTTGGCAGCTAAATGCCTTATCCACTACATCATCAAAGCTCTTTATTACATACTAAGTTAAAAGTAACATTAAGATTTTGTTTCAATAGATTAGAAAAAAAATAAGGTTCAGGAAGAGTAAGACTTGCTCAAGATAACAGAGCTAGTAAGAGACAGAGGGAAAATTGAAGGCATATCTTTCTAAATCTAAACATTCCCTCAGGTTATAGGCCAACATATAGGCAGCCCCCAGGTTATGTAAGTGATCCATTCTTTAAGAATTTGTATATTTAAGAATATGGTAGGTCCTTTGGACCAGGTACATACACTTCTTATTTAGCCTTACTTCAATGCAAGAAAAGGCTCAAAACCTCTTTCAATGATTTAAAAGCTGTACAATCAGCAAAAGAAAGTGATAAAGAATTTGTTGGGAGCAGGAGTTGGTTCAATCATTTCAAAGTTTATATAACATTAAAGTAGGGCTTCAAAGATGGCAGTGCCCTGCTCAAAGATGGCAGCTAACTGCACCACTTTGAATGTGTATGCCTCTCCACAGTCCTGCCAATA